GTATGGAGAAGGTATTGTTTTCATACAAATTTTAAAGCTTGAGTTTTTGATGGAAATATCAATTTTAGGTCCTCCAAAAAAATGGTTTTTAAAGTGTATCTGTATGTGTGAGTCGGTGTGTACAGAGCTACAGACTACACCTGAGGACAGATTTTGATGAAATTTGGTTTGTGTGTTAATTCATGGTCTCTCCAGATGTTTTATTTCATTTTTAATTTTGATTTTGAACCGCAGTTTTTTTATAAAAACCTATAAATGCGATTTTTACAAAAACTATTAAAACCTTTTTGATTAACATTTTGTATGTTTTAGTCCTTTTAGTCTATACAAAATGGTACAACCTCCAATGCTGTACCAATTTATTGAAATTTTTGTGATTTTACCCATAAAATATAATAGTTACTCTCAACGCATACCCATTATAATGTAAGTGTTGTTGACAAGCTCATCAGCTTTTACCCATCGGTAAAAGTATGTGTCAGTTGCTGATACAGTTTATTATTGTTGCAGTGTGCAATTTAAAGTGTCAAATCATAGTTTTTTTTTTTAATCATCCAGCCATCCAATTGTGTTTTGTGGAGCTACCTAATTGTGTCCAAAAGCTAATTCAGTTTTTGTGTGCATGACAGATTTTATCTGGCATGATACCAAGGTTATGGCAACACATGAAAGTGAGTAAGTTGGATAGGAGCTTTTAATTAAAGGAAAGTGTCTGTGACGAGACATGCTCTGGGCTACAGTTAGTCATAAAAAAACAACAAATATTCTTGAAGACCCTCAATCTCAATTTTAAATGTAGCTTGGATTTGACGAGGAGTCATTTAAAATTTTTTTCCACAACAGAAAAAATGCTTTGCCAGTGAAAGAAGACCAACTTTGTGTTTAAGACCAACTATCCTCAGATACTACCAGCTCATGAATGAATATGAATTCAAAAGCTGGCTAAGAATTTTAATAAGTAGTTTGAAAATTGTATAAAATATTCAGGGCAATAGGTATAGCTGAGGTTTTGAAACATAAGAATTGTCCATAAAATATAGTTGTTAGTTAAAATAAAATATAGTTTATATCATAAAGGAATGTACCTTATTTTTGAAATAATCCCTATAAGTTTAATATACGTAGTAAATATACGTGTAATCATGACAAATGGTGAGAAAAGCAATATATGACTGATAAACATGTTGGATGATAAAAAAATAAAAATAAACTTGTAATAAGAAAATGTCGCAATTAAAATACAAAGTCTCAATTCCATAAGCAGGCAAAGGAAAGGCCACTTAAAATTTGGTAAACTACGAACTTGGAACAGACAAATAGATTCCCTAACTGCCTATTTCTATGGTTGGATCGGATTAGGTTGGAACACTAATTCAATCCAAATTTCATGAAATCTAAGAACTTTATAAGAAAGGAAACCATCATACATACTCCCATATATACATACACTAACATCTAACAATTTAAATTAAATGTGTTTTTGACTATTAAGGACCTAAAACGAAAAAGTACAATGCTACCCTTGACCACTAAGTCTTATCATAGAGAAAACTACAATAATAAAAATATGCTTTGTTTCCAATGAGGAACATTGATAGAAAAGAGAAATAAATATTGAAGCTGTTTATTTTTTCATCTGTAATGTTGACAAAGAATTTCTAGTTAGTGTTTAAAGGAACTTCTAATCAGCCATAAGCCTCAGAGGCCCAATATTTTTTCAATTCCAGTTTTAATAATTTTATTTTGATAAGTATTATATAGGAATAGATTTATCTGTCTATTTGACGAAATAAGTTACAAAGAATATATATCTACAGGGTGCCTTGCAAGAACAAACTTCGCGTTATTCTGCATGTCAACAGAAACAAATAATGTACTATAACATGTGTCCTATCTCATTCCCTTTTCTATCTATCTGTCTGTATGTAATTTTTACAAAAAAACATTCATAACTCCTTAACTCAAACAGCATTGAATGGAACTAAATTAATCTAAAATTAAAGAATGTGAAGCAGGTTAAGACGAGGTTTATTTGAAATTAAGTCCTGATAAACTGTAATAGTTAATCAGTAATAGTGTAATTAGTTTGGAGTTACAGCGTTGAAATGATGTGAAAATGCACTATCTTTGTGCAAAATGTGAATAAAAACTCTTGAACCGTTTAAAAATGGCGGCTTTTTAAATTAGTTGATGTCAAAATCCACGAAAACTGTTAATTTTACAAAATATTTGCAGGATATATCAAATTTATAAAATTTTTGCAGATTACAAAATCTTATAAGCTAAGTTTGCACATAGAATAACTGAAAGAATATTTTGTTTTTGCCATCTTTCAGTTTTTGTACATTTAAACAATGTTAAAGTCAATTTTACATAGTTTAAATTGAGAAAACTGTAGTTATGGAAAGAAAAAAATAATTTATCAGTTATTCTTTGTCCAAACTAATCTTATATAATACCATTGTAATTTGCATAAAATTTACTAAATTTTACATTACTTGCAAATATTTTGTAAAAGTTTTCATGGAATTTGACATCAAATGGTTTTAAAATCCGCTATTTTTAAACAGTTCAAGAGTTTTTATTGATATTTTGCACAAATATGGCGGTCAATAAGATAAACATTTTTACAGAACTTCAACACTGTAGCTCAAACAGTTAAGAAGTTATAAATGTTTCTGTAAAAATCTCATATAGACAGATAGACCAAAAACGGAATGAGATAGGACAAATGTTATATTAAATTTTTCGTTTCTTTTGACATGCTGAATAACGTCACAAAGTTTATTCATATGGTTGCAAGACACCCTGTATAATATATACATATGAAATGTTTCATTTACTGATTAACAAGAAAGGTGTATCATTAAGATATACATATAGGTAAATTTAGTTTAAAAACTCTGTATTATATATCAAACTGTAATTTGAAAAAAATAATTGGATTTGAATTTGAATAGGTATTCAATGTACAGTATATTTAATTGACAAAGATATAATCTGTAAAACTATTTTAATGAAGTTTCGTAATAAATTATTAATTAAACTTAGAGCTCAAAAAAGTCTACAAAAAGTGTTATCACAAACTTCTGCTTTCACCATAATACATCTCTAGCCTTTACCAATACTGGAGTGATGCTATAGGTTTTATTAAAGGGATTCAAAAGTTTGTCTACATGTGATGTTTATTTAATATCTTAAACACATTACTTGTGAGAACATTTTGGAGAGGGCATTTTATATGCTATTTTATATGAAAATTGAAAATCTGAAAACTTGTTCGTAGTTAACTAGCTATATTCTTGTGATGCATGCGAAAATCCAGCAATACAGTGTATTATAACTGCCTCACATATTTTAAATGCCAATCTATGAACGGTATAATTTTTTAAACTATGCACGAGCTTTATAAATAATTGCCAAGGAAAAAGAGAATGAACTAAATACTTTTTTAACCTTCAATCTTGAACACACCTCCCAATTGCATGACGTAAGAAATTATTTTCCACTATTTTGTACTACCAAATACAGTTTGAAGAGCAAAATAAAACCATACTGTGCTTACAACTAATCTAAATTTACAACCAAACATCTATGATTTTTATCTGACATAACTTTTCTCACTTGCTATTTTAGTTGTTAGTGATTATCTTAGTTGTTAGTAATTATTATTTACTCTTACAACCAATGTTCTTTTAGTATTTTTTGCAAAACCAATTTCAAAATTCATATGATGTAAGGTTGCAGCTAATTTTTTATACATTTAATTTTTTGCAGATTTTTAACCCTTCATGAAATTGACATTATTCTACCCAAAAGACGAAATATAACTATGTATTAGGTACACAATCAGAAAGTGCAGCACGCCTATTTTAAAATACAGTTGAGAATTTAAGATGTAGAGATAAATAAAAAGCATTGCATTTTTTTGAAAATATTCAAGTGATCAATGTCAAAAATATTCACTTGAATATCAAGCTGTCTGAGACACCAATGAATATATTTATCTCAGACTAAAATTATTAGGCTAATGGGGCATATACGAATCTGATACTTAAAAATGTTAGCAACTTGATAATTGAATGTAGAACTGTGCAAACTTGGTTTTGAACCCAATAAGTTTGACCCTCAGGTAAATATTAGCTGTTAATTTATTAAGTTAAAACATAGAGTGACGTATAAACACACAACTATGTTACAATTAGAGATCAGTGGCTACTATATTAATTGTATTGTTGTTATTGTTCAGCAACTTTAACATCAAAATTACAAAATATTAATTGTTGTTTTGTTTATAACTGCTTTCAGCATACTAACATATATTTGTCCACAAATTATTGTTTTTCTCATCTTTTAAAATTAGATTTGTACCTTTTGGGCTAAACGATTCTGCAAAATGTAATTTTTACACTTGGGTCTGATACTAGAATTGACGATTATATGAATTAAACGATCTACTATAGGTCGGCCGCTTAGAAAACGACCTCCTCCAGCATTGGTTTAGCATTAGCGCGCAGGTCGTTTTCTAAGCGGCCGAACTATACAATGTTTTCCTGGCTTTGTATTTCAAATTAAATATTTTTTTAATCAGCCGAAGTATTTGGCAGTTTGCATAATAAAATGCATAACATATTATCATGGCAATTATCATAATATATTTGGATAACATTTCCATTACCAAATTCTAAAACTTTTAGATCACATATTTTGTTTAATTGGATTACTTCTTTTATATCATGGAAATACCTTTTAAAGACGCATATTCTATGAAAGGAAATTGCAAACAAATACTTAGCTGTAGTGAAAAACTATGTTATAAAACAAACAAAAGAAAACAACTCATTTGTGAATAAAACTTTTAACCTCAACTAAACATTCAATGTTACAACATACTAAATACTTATTGAGTGGTCAATTATTTCGGGAAAGTTATGTCACCTTAATCATGCAATAATAGTGTTGTAGAATGTTTCGCTAAAGAGGTAGAGTTATGACCTTACCTTGTACATGTTCTCCATTGTACTTGACGGAGAGTTCGTGAAGTCCTTCCTCTCTTGGGTCGTACTTGATACAAACTGTTCCATCTCTGTTATCTTCTATCACTGGCTTGTCCACATTCCCACTGGGCATCTTCACTTCAGCTGCAACAAACACAATCAACTATAAGTTGGCAGATTTTGTTTGTTTACAATATAAGCATTAAGAGTATTGTATCTTGCCAAAGTGACATTTACAACATAATGTGTTGTGTTTTAACACTCTTTATTACTTGTGTCTATTTTTCATTAAAAAAATTCATTAAAAATACCTACTAATATAATAATTAAAGCTGTATATTGCTTCAGCATACAAACAAAGGGTTTCCTTATACATTTTATTCTAGTTAGCCACAAATGAGAACAAATTATGACGAATTTGCATGTAGCAAACATAATCCAAAGAAGGTGACATTTTTTGAAAGAATTTTGTCTACAAAAATAGTTTTTTTAATAGTGTTAAACAATAATTCCAGAATTTAGCAATATAATCATACAGAATTTTTTGAAAGAATTTTGTCTACAAAAATAGTTTTTTTAATAGTGTTAAGCAATAATTCCAGAATTTGGCAATAAATAATGGTACAGAATAGGAAATAAATTAAATCTCTACACGACAATCTTATAATAATATACTATTATTAACCTCTTATAGTAAAATATGTCTCTCAATACTTTTGATATAATTATGTTGACTTATATTGTGAACATCTATAAGACTAAAAAGAACGAACATAAAAGATGAAACAACAGCAATCTATTTCAACCAGTCATCACAAGGCCGAAGTTTAGTAAAAAAGGATAGATAAATTTATTTTGATAGTTTATAAAGATTAAAACATTTTTCACTAATGAAATAAGTATTCATTTACGTTGGCAACTCAACCAATCTTAATCAAAAGCCATGAAAACTACAAAATAACTATGAAAAAACAACAAAATACTCGATATCGTAACTACCCGGCCATCCAGAGACATTACCTAGAGTTTTATAAAAAACCCACAGCTGCCGGTGCTAGGTTCTTTTACTCTCTGCCAAAAGACCTTGTGGCAAAATAATGTCAAACTCTTCAAAAAAGAAATTGAAGGCGTATTTAATAAAAAATTGTACTACTCTTTCAATCAAACTTCTTTACAACTATTTCTAGATATTAAGTAATCGACACCACAGTATTTATGTAAGTTATATATCATGAAGCATTTCTGATTCTGATTCTGAAATTTGGCCAACCAAACATAAGTTTCCAAATGATTTACGACTTAAAGCAACATAAGTAACGGACAAATCCTAATTTATAACACACGTTGAAGAGGTGAAGATTCCCTCTATTTACTTTCCATTATTTACAGTGTCTTGGCCTCCCGCCTATTGCCTACCCTTCAACATTAGTACAGGTGGACAAATGACTTAGATAACTATTTTAAGACTGCGGAGTTATCGTCCACAGCCTATCTTACATGCTTTACTATTTATATTTTTACACAGCGGAGAATGTGGTCTACTTGATTTGTTTATTTTTATTCATTTTGATGTCATTTTAGCCCACGAATTAAATATAACAATTCTATGTAACGGTAGAAAATGTTTGAGTACATTTTTTTCATGTTAGGCTAATACTAATTTGGAATTATTCACCAATCAATTAAGACCTTTAAAATGAGTAGGAATTGTAGGTTTAAATGCATAAACTAACCGGCAAAGCAAGATAAATTCCAATAAAGGTATAGTAGATGATAATGATGTTTCAATGTTAAATAATTGTACAACTTAAACATACAGTGTTAGAGATAACTTCAGATTGACACTGCGGAAAATTTTGCTTTGGTAAGAAAAGTTATTTAATACTTTACAAGTTAATTTATGTTGTCCTATAAGGGTTATTAAGGCAATATCAAATTTAATGTAAAACATAATACATGTTCAAATGTTTAAAACGGAACAATAAATTTAGTACTTTGTGTTCTGAATTTGTATATCTGTTTGTATATCACTAAATTAACCACACATTTCGAATGGTTTTATTTAATTTGTAAATCCTGTATTCGTAATTAAATACGCAAAAATATATTAGGTATGCCATAAATTGAAGATGATTTATAATAACCAAGCACAACCGTAACCGTCCACCAGGGACAACTTTAATCGTTCACCAAGCACAACTTTAATCGTTCACCAAGCACAACTATAACCGTTCACCAAGCACAACCGTAACCGTCCACCAGGGACAACTTTAATCGTTCACTAAGCACAACTTTAATCGTTCACCAAGCACAACTATAACCGTTCACCAAGCCCAACCGTAATCTTTCACCAAGCACAACCGTAATCGTTCACCAAGCCCAACCGTAATCGTTCACCAAGCACAACCGTAATCGTTCACCAAGCACAACTGTAATCTTTCACCAAGCACAACTGTAATCTTTCACCAAGCACAACTGTAATCTTTCACCAAGCACAACCGTAATCGTTCACCAAGCACAACCGTAATCGTTCACCAAGCACAACCGTAATCTTTCACCAAGCACAACCGTAATCGTTCACCAAGCACAACCGTAACCGTTCACCAAGCACAACCGTAATCTTTCACCAAGCACAACTGTAATCTTTCACCAAGCACAACCGTAATCGTTCACCAAGCACAACCGTAATCGTTCACCAAGCACAACCGTAATCGTTCACCAAGCCCAACCGTAATCGTTCACCAAGCACAACCGTAATCGTTCACCAAGCACAACTGTGCATTCTTGGTAATAATTAAGAAACGTGTTATCTATTAGAACGCAATGGAACGCAAATACTGTTTTTTGTTTTTCAAGTATAATCTTCAATTTTTTTAAATATCTTTGACGTTGGTGACACCCAAATGAAAACGACACGTCTATTTTGCCAATTATGTCGAAACAGGTTCTGGATATTCAAGTTCTTTTTTGACAGTTTTTAAATGTACTTAGACGTAAGATAAGTACCTAATCAAGTATATATCTTCAGTTAGAACAATAATAACTTGTTTTTGTTAATTTGGTTATATATATGCAATATATAAATTCCATGTATTTATAATTTAATAAGTTCATATTTAAACATTTATTCATAAACAAGCTGGCTCTTTGCTAAGGAGATTCACAATGTAAATTTTAATCTACGGTGGTATACAATACAAACCTGCTTCCTGCACAAATCAAAAGAACAAGTACAGGACACGAAAATATAGTCGCTACGTTGCACTGTGCGATCTAGCGTAGACCATTAAACTACCTCGGAAAGCCAACGTCGATCATATTTTGTCACTATTTTTTTAAATTAACTGATAAACTATTTTATACTGAAAACATATTTCTTTATGAGATTTCCGAGATTCTACGAGTGTCAAACACTTTGTTTGTTTAAGTTTTAACAATAATTAATAAGCAACTACAGACTTTGTGTCAAATGTATATTTATACATACAGGGTGATTGATATAAGTGTGCCAGCCGTTTTATTCGAAAACCATAAGAGATATAAAAAAAGTTAAATAGTAAGTGCCTTGAACTTTTTATTTAAAAAATTTTAGTAAAGTGGAAAAAATTATTTTAGCCGCCATTTTTCCAATATGGCCGCCAACTTTGATGTTTATTATAGAGCACCCTGTATTTTATGATGTATTCTGGTAGAAAATGTAATTTTAAGACGATTTTATTCATGTGATTTTTTTCATAAACCTAACCGTTTCAAAGATAATAATGGTTTAAGTTGTGAAATTTTGAATGGTTTTCGAATAAAACAGCTGCCATGCTTGCTTAGGCCTTTATCGAAACTCTTTCTCATGCAGAAATTTCAAAACTTTAACCATTATTATCTTTGAAACGGTTAGGTTTATGAAAAAAATCACATGAATAAAATCGTTTTAAAATTACATTTTCTACCAGAATACATCATAAAATACAGGGTGTTCCATAATAAACATCAAAGTTGGCGGCCATATTGGAAAAATGGCGGCTAAAATAATTTTTTGACTTGACTACAATTTTTTAAATAAAAAGTTCAAGGCACTTACCGTTTAACTTTTTTTGATATCTCTTATAGTTTTCGAATAAAACGGCTGGCACACTTATATCAATCACCCTGTATAATTCGATTACATATACAACCTTGGTAAGTTTGGAAGAAATATGTTCAGCTGTTTCGCGTGAAGAAAGTTTGAATTGATGTTGATCCTAAAGAGCTTCAACCCGCCCAATTAAAACAGTTATTTTATTGTCAATCTACAACGGTTTATTAACAAAGGTTCAAATACCTGCTATTAAGCAATCCAACGTTTATATATATATCGAGAGTCAGTCGACCAACCAAGTAAAGATCATTTTTTATAAAAAAAAGAACAGTCTAAATTAGTGTTACAACATGAACCTATTACAAAATGCCCGGGTCTACCACAGGTATTCTAATTTAGGTATCTTGTATTTTGCCAAATAAGAAAAACATGCCTGACAGGCACGTCTACCGCTGATTTTTCTTTTCCATTTCGTGTCCAAAACTATTTTACTGCAATGTGTGCAGTACTCGACAGCCTGCATCTCCTTGTTCCTGATTGATGTCTGTGGTCACTGCCTCTTGGGAAGCCAGGTCCTGACGCACCTTGGCTAGTTTCTCAGCTCTCTTCTCTTGTTCAGCTCAAACCTCTATCAGCTCTTCTCTAGCCTGTATCAGCACGGCTCTAACCTCTGTCATCTCTGCTCCAACCTCTGTCAGCTCTGCTCTAACCTCTGTCAGACCTGCTCTAGCCTCTGTCATCTCTGCTCCAACCTCTATCAGCTCTGCTCTAGCCTGTGTAAGCTCGGCTCAAACCTCTATCAGCTCTTCTCTAGCCAGTATCAGCACGACTCTAACCTATGTCAGCTCGGCTCTAACCTCTGTCACTTCTGCTCTAGCCTATGTCAGATCTGCTCTAGCCTGTGTCAGAGGAGGTTCTAGAATTATCCTTATCATGGAGTCTGAGCTGCTGCTTTTATCCGATCTAGTCTTCGACACCTCCATTGGATGAAGTTCATCAGGTAACATTGCGACTGGCAAAGGCTCCTCATCTTAGTCTTCAACGTCATCAACAGTCCAGCCTAGCTCAGGAT